GGCTCAAGTGGGTCCACAGGCAGTTTTGACCCAACCATTAAAGAAGAATTAACTTCTGTACTTCTTAGACCGTTTTAAAACACAGAGGGAAAAAATAGGAGACTACCCTGTTCTTTATGTGAGGCAAATAGGGTTTTGACTCCAATGTGGAAAAAAGATGAAGATGAAAATGTAAACTAGAAGCTGAAGTTAATGAATAAAATACTTAGAAGGACATGGAATACAGTAGGAGGCCCAACCTTTCAACTGCAAAGCGTAAATGAATGAAAAAAGCATTTAAGTGCTTACTGTGTACAAATTATAGCAGAGTTTCTTAGAGGAGAACATAACTTCCAGGGAGTGGTGGCCACAGAGAGGAGCCTTCTGTTTGCTGAGCCCAGGGTGATGAGGTCAGCGTACCCTTTCCAGTTGGATGGCAGTAGGGGGAGCGAATGTTTGCGGTAGTGGAAAACGGCCCTGGAGTTGGATTAAGGCAGATTTGGGTTCAAATCCCACCTCAGGTACTTTTTATCAGTGTGACTGGGCAAACCACAGAACCTTTCTCTGCCTCATTTTCCTCACTGGATCCTTTGTTGGCAGGTCAGGTGGTGAGAACAGGATGGGAGTGCTTAGTACAGTGCTGCCTGGCACGAGTAGGTGCTTAATAAATGTTGATTGATGAAAAGAGTGAGCTTTCACTTTGGAAATGACAATTTGTACCTATAGTGTGGAGATAGTTTAATACTCTATGATCATCCCATGCAGGGATAAAAGAGATGCATTGATAAAAGAGAACATTCATTTTGTTTTTTTAATTTCTTAGAAACATTAAACCTCTGAGCAATGGAAAGAGTAGAGTGGTTTAGCAGAAAAATCACTGTATTTAAACTCACGTGATCTGGGTTCAGATCTAGAATCTGCTGTGTGATCTTGGACAAGTTACCCTCTCTGTTTCCTCATTAGTTAAGTAAAAGAGTTTGACTAAATGACTAAATTCCAGCCCTGAATCAATTATCATGTTTTCTTGATTGAAGTACTGAATAAAAAAGCATTTATTAAGGCTTTACTAAGTACCAGCCATTATAATCAGGAAGTCCTGGGGATAGAAATTTAAGGCAAGATATTCTTTGACCTCCAGATACTCACATTCTATGGGTAGGAGAGTGTTGGAGTAGCTATGCCTTAGGGAAGAGTGTTTTAATGTAGGAAGTCGTGACGATGAGCAGTGAAATCCCAGGACAGTCCGCTGACATGCCCCTTCCATAATCAGTAGTAGGGTTGATTTGTCCCTATGACAAGGTAGCTGAGGTTGGGTACAGGATCATGAGAAGTAGAGAAGGCGCATCAGGTTGGCGTACGTGCCCACCGGCCTGAAGGAAGGTGGCTTGGATGGTCTGTGACGGGGGATTAGGATATGGTAGATAATGTGGGCTGTGTTTGCTTGCTCCCTGCTGCCTGTAAGCACACTGAAGTCCCAGGGCAGTAGCTCCAAAACTGAGGGCTGAGTTCCTTCTGGCTGTTGTCTCTGTCTAGTTGGGAGGGTTGGGCAGTAGCTGGGCCACTGGGCAGAACAAGCCTTCCGTTTATAGTTGAAAGTTATAGTTATAATGTCTTTGATACCAATGTACTCATGATACCATGAGCAATAGCAAATGCAGAAGAGAAAAAAAAATCAAAGTGATCCCATTAAAAATAGATAAAAAGCTGGCTGAACAATAGAAAAGAAATTTGGAATAGAGAAAAGGAATATGTATTGGTAGAGGAGTTGAACTATAGGGCCAAAAGGGACCAGCACCACCAAATTTCAAAAAGAACTCTAATATAAGCAGGAATTTAGGAAAATTGGTTCTGGGGTAACCCAGAGTGAAGTAGCTCACTGCCTCAGAATAGAGGAGCCTCTGAAAAGAACCCAGTAAAGGGGTGTGTGTGTGTGTGTGTGTGTGTGTGTGTGTGTGTGTGTGTATTAAACCATCATTCATAACTTTGGAGAAGGCAGTTGCAGATGAATGACAAGGTCAGAAGTCAGATGGTTTAGAAGTGTTTGACGGGAGATAAAAGGGAGACTTGGAGGGTAGATGACTTTCTCAAGTAGTTTAGCTGAAAAAGGTGGGAAAAATTTGGGTGATAGCTCTAGAGGAAGGCTGAGTCAAATGAAAGTTTTTGTAGGCAACAGGTTAGGAGCCAGGAGTGTAGAGATGATGGTGAGAACACTTTGTTACAGAGTTTGGAAGGGGATGGAGCCAGGGGTGTGTTTTTGCAAAGGGTTGCCATGAGACAGTTATCTAAGTGCATGTGACATGAGGAAGAGGAGAGATGGGTGAGATCTTCTGCTGAAAGAATGGGAGCTAGTAGATAGGGTGAGATGGAAGGGAAGAGTGTAGAGATGACAGTGGGGAGAGGTATAGGAAGGGCAGAAAATGTTTGGAATAGCTATTCTGGTGAATGTGAATGAGAATCAGTTAGGATGGTATAGAAAGATTGCCTTGTTGCAGTGAGGGCCCAGTTAAGATTATGTATAATATTAAGAGCATATATGTAATGAATCCAATCTCTATGGTTCAGTGGCATATTAATAAAAGTGAAGGAGACAAATTGTGAAAGTAATTATGAGTTCAAGTGTCAACAGGACAAGGGGTCAGGAATTCCAGAGTAGATACTAATGTTGAGTTGAACTAGTTCACTAAGTAAGGGATCAAGATAAGAGTGCAAGGGGAATGTAGATAATACAGAGGTGTTGGCTTTGAAAAGAACTAGCAGATGGAGGGAGTGTGGTCATGGTAAAGATGAACAGGGCTAGAGAAAAGCTTAGGGAAAGATGGAATGATAAAAGGTTTTTTTTGTTTGTTTGTTTTTGCTTTTTGGTGAGCCAGTGGGGGTTAAGTGATTTGCCCAGGGTCACCCAGCTAGTAAGTGTCAAGTGTCTGAGGTCTGATTTGAACTCAGGTCCTCCTGACTCCAAGGCCGGAGCTCTATTCACTGCACCACCTAGCTGCCCCTGATAAAAGGTTTTAACAACATTTAACAATGTGAATTTTTTTAAAAAGTCCAAAACAACTGGAAGAAAAAGCTTTTCTTGCCAAACAAATGGAAAATATTATTGGGAATCATATTGTATTTGATTATATTCAGTGGAAGACTTTTGTACAACAAAAAACAATCCTCCAAAAGTAAAAGGAAATGTAGAGGTCTGATAAATGCTTATCTTTGAGACTGTTAATCTCCAATGAGCAAAGAATGTGAACATTTCTGGGAGGAGGCAGAATGGGCAGCTTCCCTAATTTTAGAGAAACACATATTAAGACCATCTCCAGATGCTACTGAATTGGTGGACTGGTTAAGGAAGCACACAAAAATACCGCATTGGCTGGAAAGCACATGTTAAGACATGGTTATTAGAATTGTAGACTGGTTCAGGCATTTTGGTAATACAAAAAGTCACAAAGTTGATACTGTTGAATTTAATTATTCCTAAAGACTTAATAATTAAAATGTCATGAAAAGGGCCAGTCTGTACTCAGTAGTCATAGCTGCCTTCATTGTAATATGGGGGAAGAACCCGCAACTGGAAACGACTTGCATTTCTGAATATAGTAGTGGCTGGACAAATTGTGTAATATTAGTGGAATATTATGTTTCCATAAAAATGATATGTTAAGTGTACCAATAAATGTGGAAATGACCTTTATAAAATGAAACCACATTAGTTTAGCAGAATCTGAACAGGAAATACATTGACTACATCTGTAGATTTGCTTTTTAAATATTTTTCCCCAAAGTAGAATTTTATATCTATTTGAAAATGTGAGACAGAGCAAATACTTATTTTTTGTTGTTAATTCATTTGTTTTTGCTTTGTTACATGTTAGGATGCATGTAAAGTTTTATTTCATATATTTGACTTAATGGTCATTAAGTTGATAAAAATTATTTATGTGTAGAATCAGAGTACTTATTTTATGCCTACCTCAGAAATGGAATGTTTGGCTAATTATATTTATCTTAGCTTTATCCTTGTCTCTTCATAATAAAAAGTATGTGTTCAGATTCTTAAATTTTCTTTTGTCTATTTGTTGTACTGTGCTATGATTTATAAACTATCTCAGTGAACAGTTTCCTGGTGAAATAGTTCGGATGAGAATTATAGGAATGGGACACATTATGATGTACTTAGAAAAGGGCTGTCACTTCTAAAAAACTGCAGATCATTTTTAATCTGTTGCTGCATGTCATTGACTTTCCAACTAGAATATACTTAAATGTGATGTTTCTTGACTTTTTTTTTGTCTCAATCAAAACATGCTAGAAAGTGTTTTATTTTTGTTTAGAATCTGTCCTTTATTAACTTGTACAAAGAATTCTTTCATGGTTAATATTTAAGACAACTAATATTGTGGATACTGCTTTGTTTGACAACTGGTATGCTGTGAGGATATGCATGCTTAAAAGAAATCAAGGTTTTTCCACATTTTTGTTTATTTTTATGTATAGGAAGGTTAGTTTTTTGTACCCTTTCTTTCAGATGGTTAATCACCAAGATCAACAAGACAAAGAATTCTTCCGGTTGTAACTAATGACATTTGTACCTTGGCATAATATCTTTCTTTTTCCAGTTTTTTTAAAAGATTGAATTCATATATCATTGATGCTATAGTGTTCATTCTACTTACTGTACTGATTGTAGCAGACTACTGTATCTGAGACACAAAGGAGGCATAACATAATTCAATTTAAGAAATATTTATATTACTGTGAGTTTGGCATATGAAGACAAAAAAAATTAGTCCTTGCCCTCAGGTGTTGGGTGTTATAACATATACATGGATAAGTAAATATTTCTTTGAATTTTGTGGTGGGTGTTATAACATATACATGGATAAGTAAATATTTCTTTGAATTTTGTGG